ATATATATATATGTATATATATGTATATATGTATATATATATATATATATATATATATATATATATATATATATATAGACACCCATTTGTGTCTCCCCAAAACCAAACCCAGTGATGAGTGCCTTTCACGTCGAATCATAATCGAATGAAGCGAAAGTGTGGAAGGTTTAGTGTTGCAGATAGTTTTAATTTCTTTTCTCTTCTCTCTATTTTTGAAAACTTATTTTAAGAGAACAGCCAATCCAGTTTGGTTGGTCCATGATATGGGTCCAATAATAGTGTAGTTGGATGAGGCTTGACAAGAGCTTTCCAACGATATATTATAAGCCCAATTCCAATGAATATTGAGGAAATTATGGCCAATTTACTAAACTGGGCCCGGTTTGAGCTTTATATGCGGCCCAATGATCTAGGGGAGGGCCTAATATGATTTATCATTCCTAACGCAATTAGGAATGGTTTTAGTCTTCTAGATTCTTCTAGAAGGTTCTTTTCATTCCTAATTCAATTAGTATTGATAAATTGACTTTTGTTGACTTTTTAGAGTTTTAATTAAAATCAAATAGCATTTTTGAGGAAAATATACGATTTTATCCTCCAGTACGGCAAAACTTATCTGATTTTCGAAAACACGTCAAAAACAGGCCTGGCGCCTGACTCCAGGCATTGGTGCCAGGAGCTAGGCTTGGCGCCTGGCGCCAATGGCCAATGGCTGGCGCCGATCTCGTTTTGCGTGCGCCAGACTCTGTTTTGTTTATTTTATCTTTTTTGGCCGATTTATCTATAAATAATGTCGTAAAACTCCGTTTTCGATAACCAGATTTCATCAATTCTTATTTTAAAACCAATTCTCATCAACAATTAGTTTTAATTAATATACACCGACAATCAATTTTCATTCATCAATTCTCTCTCATTCTCTTCTAATTCATTCATTCATCAATCAATTCATTCAACCATCTATCTCTCTTCTAAAACTTGCTTTTTACAAAATTTCGCATTCATTAGATTTAGAAACACCTAGCCATATTCGAAGTTGTCTTTGCCCTAGACGTGAAAGGTTTAATTTCTGAGGGTTTGGTCCCAAATCTCTCTTTCAATTATTTAATTTAATTGTTTGATTATTTATTTTCCTTGAAGTTACTAACGTGTGTATTTTGTTATTAGAAAGAGGTACGAGGCATAAAAGTAAGTGCTTTAATGGTTTTCTATTGATATTATGATGTAGAAATCATGTTTACATTGTTATTATGATATTCCTAGTATCATGTTTAGGGAAAAGATTATAATATCAAATATATTAAATATGATTGTTACGATGCTTCCTATGTTCTTCCTAATATTTATGATTGTTAGTATCATGTTAGGGTTAAAGATTTGATTTTTATTGGTTAGTGACATGCTAGGGTTTGTTATTAATCTTGTTAGTATCATGCCTAGGATCTTGCTATTATTATTATGCTTTAATATTAACATGAACATGATTATGATTATAATTGTTATAATTTATGATGATTGTGAATATTATTATTATTATTATTTTGATGATGATTATTTTATATATGATAATTATTTCAATTATTATTAATATGATGATTATTTTATTTTATGATTATTATCATGATTATTTCAATTATAATTTATTTATATGAATATTATTATTTTGATTATTATGTTGCTTGATATTATTTTTATTTATTGCTTGATCACCTTTTATGCATGTTTAAAGGGAATTGGCACTTGTAATCACGCTTAATAAGATAATTAATAATCTTGTTTAGGGTTAATTGTGATTATAATTCAAGTGATCGCCGATAATAGATTTATTTGTGCATTAATATTCAACCAACATAGATTAAACAGGTTTAGGGTTAATCCTATTGATTGCATGTTAATTAGAAAGCGCACATGAATACGATCAGAATAAAGTAGAGGTCTATTATTAGGGTAGGTTCAATCTCTTTTAGGTTGGATTTGTACCTTCATCCCCGAACCCTTATTTGGTTCAAGACCTTATGGAGTTGACGATCTCTTGGATCGTTAAGGGGTGTAACCTTCACCCTGTGAACGCTTACAAGTTCCTAAAACTTGTTGGCGACTCTTTTGCTCTATCTTCTTCCCTTTTGGACGCCACCGTACTTTAGTGTATGATCACAGCGGGGTTCAAGCTAGGGGTTAACGCTTGAATTTATTCCATGACATAAGTATAGAGCTTCTGTTTTCTGTCTCTCTTTTTATGGTGGTGACAATTGACAACAGTCTTAAATTATGACATTAATAAAATTTAAAATGTCAACTCTCAATTGGTTGATCTAGTTTAAAAATGCAAAAAATAAAACAATTAGCTTTATTCAGCTAAATGATTAAATATACTCCGTACATACATACAATAATAAAATTATGCAAGAAGTCGTGCTGTGCAATACGTATTGAAAGTACATTTATAAGTACAGCAATATAATCATCATTATGACATTAACACATTATGTCGTTACACCATGATGATAGATTGATAGATATTAGATAACCTTTGGCTGGCCAATAGGTCCATTATATAAACCCAAGCTATGTAGCTAAATAAACCAACAAAAAGAAAAACGTTACCAATTATTACTTCTTAAGTTCTAAATTTAGAGTCATTAATTCAAATACGAGCAGTTAATTCTCTTTTAATTACAATGGCTTATTCTCCTGTTAAGACCTACATCTTTGCTGCTTGTTTGATTATCATGGTAGTGGCTGCAATGGCAGCTGACGACCACGACCATAGCCACGATGACCATGGTCATGACGACCATGACCATGCCCCAAGTCCTAAAGGTGAGCATGACCATGGTGTTTCTAGCTCACTTGCTCCCTTCCCAGCCTTGATTGTCGCCGCCATTGCATCCGTTGTGTCCTTGGCTAGGATTTAAGCGTACGAAGTATGAGCTGCGATCATTCGTTACGTTTATATAAGCGTTGATGTGTGCTGTTTTTTCATTATTGCATTTTCTAATAAAGTTTCCTTGAAATTGTTTATTTTTCGTAATTATTTAATTACTACCTCCGATTTTTAATATTTGAAATTTTGGGTATCATTTGTGAGATAAAAAATATTTCAAAATTGTCAATAATAAAAATCAGAAGTAATATATGGCTTAGCTTCATTGATTAATTTCTTAGTGACTTATAGCTGTGTAATCTAAGCTACTTTATTGCGTGATTATTAATTGTGTTGATTATACTAGCATCCATTATTGATGTTATGAAACAATTATATGAGACCCTGTTTATATGCGATCAAGTATGACCAAGTGATTTCACAATGGGTGTACTGTGGTCGATGTACCTTACTTTAGAATTGTATCCAAAATTTTATCCATATCCAATAGCCCTGCAACGCGCCCCATGTTGGGAGTAATGCAAGTCGAAAGATTTGGTAGATCGATAGTATTAAGCTATCTTTGATGATAAGCTTCTTATATTACTTGCCCTAGCAAGGCAAGATTGCCCTGGGGGGTGGGGTGATGAGAAGTAATATAAGCTTCTCATCAAGGTAGTAAACTCCCTATTTTTTGTATCCCACTTGCCCTGTCAGGGCGACTTTAATTTGCCCTAGCAACCAGGGCAAAGCTTCGAACTTCTCCGTATCATATTTTTACCCTTCGCGCCCGCTAGGGCTGACTTGCCCGGGCAGACTGAGCAAAGCCTAAAACCGGAGTTTTTGAGCTGTGCTTGTCGCGCCAGGTAGGGCGGACTCGCCCTGGCAGATTGGGCAGACCTTGCAAGGCTTCGAGAAACGCGTTTTTGCCGAGTTTTGTTTCCTTATTCTTGATTTATTTTCATAACCTATAAATACCCTTGACCTATTATTTTTTACGGTGATAGAAAAGACACAAAGTATTGAAAAACCCTAAACACAATAAACACAAACTCATTCCTATAGAGATCTGAGCAGTTCTTGAAGTGATTCCAACCATCCAATTGGGTACGGAGTTGGAAGGTAGATGTGTTACCCTCGGGGAGCATTTGTCACTGAGAGCCTCGTACCGGTGGTGGCGAAATACGCTTCTAGGGCAGCCGTAAAACGCGTCACAGCTTTTATGCATGAGATCTACAATGGAGTATTGTATTTTTGCCCTAATTTCTTTATTATTTTCATGGTTACAACATATTATTTCCTAACACCCCATATTTGTCCCGCTTCCGCTGAGCCGCCGCCGACACAACACGACCAAGAACGAAGTCAGACAACCTTGATTGTGTTAAAAGTGAAGACCCCGTACGTCAAGTCAACACATACATTAATGCCTCTATCCCAGGAATAAAGCAGCGTATATGCTAGTCGTAGAGCCCTGTCGTTCCCTCCATTCAACCCAACGTTAACCTCCTTTCGAGCAGAAATTCCAAACCGAAAACAAATATCAACTAGGGTGTCACGAGCAACGTTGTGCCGATGTTTAATAACCACTGTAATACCCCTCATGATTGCTTTAAAAAGGATTTGATATACTACTCATATCAACAAGGTGCATCTTCCTTTTAGGGAGCTTATTTGTTAAGATACTCCATAGTTAAGCGTGCTTGGCTGGGAGTAGTCTTGAGAATAACACGGTGTTGAAATGGAGAACAAAAGAACACCCAATCTGTAGCATAGAACACTACGTAATTATTATTATTATTATTATTATTATCTGAATTTTATTACTACATTTTTTTTTTTTGAAAAAAAAAATTTATGAGTTTTATCCTAAATAAGTAAATAACTATCATCCCTATCTCCATCAATAACATCGCCATCAGTTATAAAAGCTTTTGACAATTACCTTCCCAAATATTACAAATTTTACTGCATGCAAATTACAATCTTCTACGTGTAACAAATCAATTCATACACCATCCATCAAACATGCAACCTGCTTCCTCACCACAAATTGCACCTCCATTTTCAACCTATCTAAGGTTCTCGTAGTCACACTTTATCCATCAATTTCATCTTTAAGTAGAACTACACTTATCCACATTTTATTCCCAATTCAATCAATTACTACGATACTCTCATCTTTTCAAATTTGCTGCATTATAACACAACAAAAACCCAATTCATATACCCCAATTCTAATTTCATAACATTATTATACTAAAATGAGTAGTAGCATCAAAGTAAAGAAATCAACCATGGTACGTCCATCTAAGGAGACACCAAAAGGTAGTCTTTGGTTATCAAAATTAGACATGATAATACGCCAACCATACTCACATACTAACGTACTCCACCTCTATACAAAAGCCTTCGACACCGAAGTTTTCGAGGAGGCTCTTAGTAGAGCCTTAGTGCCATTCTACCCATTAGCAGGGCGGCTAAAATTCAACGATGACAACGGAAGGTACGAGATCGATTGCAATGCTAAGGGAGTCTTATTTCTCGAGGCGGAATCGACGGAAGCTCTAGCCGATTTCGGGGACTACTTGAGTCCCGACCCTCAACTCATGAAGGGGTTGTTTCCTACGTGCGACTACTCGGGAGGGGTCTCGTCGTTCCCTATATTACTTGTGCAACTAACTCGGTTTAAATGCGGGAGTGTATGTCTTGGGTTTGCTACACATCACCATGTATGTGATGGGTCTTCACATTATCATTTTGTCAACTCGTGGGCTAGATTGGTTCGAGGGTTAGACCTTGATGTTTATCCGGTTCATGATAGGGTTGCTTACCTTGCTCCTCGTGACCCGCCTCAAGTTAAGTTTCGACACTTGGAGTATGAGCCATCTATACCTCCTTTAGCCCCGAAGGGTTTATCAGGTGATTATGTCTTCCGCCCATCCATTTCTGAATAATTGACACAATCGAATTTGACCTACATGTTAATGTATTAGTTTAATCTTACATGTATTATATACTAGTTAAAAAAATTTAAAAAATTATTGATAGTTTAAAACTTTATGTTTATATGTATTTAACGGCATATTTTATGGTACAATTTGTTTTTAATAGATTACACCCTCCGTTTATAATCGTAGCACTAGGTGATGCATATATATAGTTCTAGGTAAATCATAACGAGGGGACCAAAAGGAGAATGTAATAATATAAAATATAGTTGGTATGGGTATATTTAATTGTTAGTAGGAAAGATAAATAATAATAATAATAATAATAACAATAATAATACGAGTAATAAAAAGTATAAGTGGAGTTGATAGAAGAGACAAAGTATAAAATATAAATGAGTCATTACCAAATAAGGAATTATTGCAATTATTATAAAATGAATGTAAAACAAAAGTGTTGTGTTTAAAATTTAGTACTCTAACAATTTTTATTATTTTATTTATTTTTTATTTTTTATTTTTTATTTTATTTTTTTTGTGTGTGTGTGTGTCAAAAAAACAAAATGCATTGTTAGAGTGCTAAATATCTATGATCAAATTTTAGAATGTAAATAATGAAAAAAAAATTCAACGTGTTAATTATTTTGGGACAAAGGATGTAACTTTTGAAACAAATTAATTTTTCATAAATTAACTCAAAATTGACTACTTGATTAGGTGAAATGGTTACAACAACCGAGTGTATCTTCAAGCTCACCAAAGACCAAGTTAACATCTTAAAATTACAAGCAACTTCTCAAGAACAAGAAGTAACAAATTACAAGCTAAGTACATTTGAGATTCAAGCTGGGCACATGTGGCGCAGTGTATGCAAGGCGCGTGGATTAGCAAACGATCAAGACGTCAAACTTTACATCACCGCAAACGGACGGTCAAGATTGAAGGAGATGGCAATACCACAAGGGTATTGTGGTAATATCCTCTTTCATGCAACTTGTGTAGAAAAGGCAGGAGATGTCACATGTAAACCACTTTGGTATGTTGCGAGTAAGATTCATGAGGCAATTAAGAAATTAGATGATATTGAGTATTTAAAATCAGCTATTGATTATGTGGAATCACATCCAAATTTATTGGATATTGTTCATGGGCCACAAACTTATACAAGCCCAAACTTTTCAATAAATTCTTGGGCTAGGTTACCTTGTCATGAAGCTGATTTTGGGCTTGGTGAGCCCATTTTTACAGGTATTAATGGGCTGAAATTTGAGGGGCAAACTTGCATTACACCATGCTCAACTGGGGATGGTAGTTTTTCTGTGACCATTAAGCTTTTCACATCTCATATGAAGGCTTTTAAAGAGTATTTCTATAAGATTAGCAGCAAACTTTGAGGACATAATTATTTATTGTGAATCTTGCACGATTCTTGGAAAGTTCTTTCATGACTTTCTTTTACCTACATTTTTGTTGAATGAAATTCAAATAATCTATCTATATATTATACTAAAAGACAAGCGCCTCAATGTGAGACTGACAAATGTCTCTTTATGATTCGCTGTCTTTTTTAATTTTTTTATTATACATTTATGTTTCCATATAAAAAAATATTCTAAATAACTAAATAAACTATTATAATAAAGTCTAGCAATATTATTTCTAAAATAGTGTTCGGATTATATTTGGGAATTGCCTTTATTAATAGCATACTAGCATAGAGTGATATTTCTTTGCTCATTAGTCATAATGTAATCACTTACTATGATAGATGGTCGTGAAAATGGTCAGAGCATCTATTATAGTAAAGTCTAGCAATATTATTGTGACATAATGAACAAAGAAAAGAATTATACAAGTATTTCATATTACATAATACGAGCATAATGGTAAGAACATCTATTATAGTAAAGTCTAGAAACATTATTTCTCAAATAAATAAATAAAAAGTCTACAAATATAATGGTAGCATGATAAGGTAAAAATACAATATTCAAAAAATACATTAATAATAATAATAATAAAATATTCTTAAAATATTCAATTCAAATCATAGTATTCAAATAATAAAATAAGATACAATTTTTTTTTTTTTTTTTGTATTATCATCTATATAAATAATAGCCATAGTCATAACATATATGTCTTTATATTTTTCATTTCAAGGCCATATTATGGAAAGATTAATATATTGTTCTTCAATATGACATTCACTATGATGTTTGACCATACCCCTCTTAAAGAATCATGGTGAATAAATTAATTTAACTTTGATTAAAAAAATATATATCTAATAATTTAATTTTAGATTAATGTAGAGTCTATGAATTGTTAATATACAATTTATTGAATTTTTTTTTGAGGGGAATACAATTTAATTGAAATTAAATTAACTTAGATTAAAAATATATATCTAATGTAACTTTTTCTTACAAAAGAGTTAAACAATATTTTCCTAACAATAATTATGCCAAAAATTTACGCATATATAATAATTAAAGATTTCGCACACTTTTAAAATATTATTTTTCTATAACCATTAATTTTTCATATTTCCTTACTATTAATGCTAATATTCAAAATTTAAATAATTATAGTATAAGAATACATATCCATAAAAAAATATATTTACATACATGATTGGGTAGTTGATGAAATTTGTCTTTTATTGTTAAAAATATTAATAAATATCTTTCATTCGTATAAAAATTTACCAAATCATATCTATATATTTGTGTTGTATATTCTATCAGTTATTGATTGGTTGTGTGGATATTATGTACTCCGTAATTGTTTTTGACACAATGATTTTCTTAGGAAAAATGTATATAGTGGTGGGTCAAATATAAGGTAAGTTATTATTGTGTCTAAAATTTGGTGAATACAACGAGTAAAACAAATATTCGATTGTATAGCTGCTTATGTTAAGAAAATTTTAGTTTATATCTATGGGAGGTAGGAAAGATTTAGTTTATATCTCTTATAATTATGTGAGTATTATTCATTTATTTTTCAAATAAACAAATAACATTATATAAAAAAAGGAAATAAAATAAATCTAAATGACAAAATTAATTTGTTAGTAAAAATGAACCCTTTATTACTAATTGAATTATGTTAATTTTTTCCCTACGGGATTAATAATACTTTATTCAAAAAATCAATAAGTTGATTTATAAATCGTGCATCGCACGGGCACTATGCTAGTAAGCTAATAAAAGTAGCAAATCTTGTTTTTGTGGGCGTCTTGCTTATAAGTTTTAGCCTTTCACTTAAAACAGTTTTCTTTTTATAATAATAAAGCATTATCAAGATTTCTATTTTATTTATAAATTGTAATATCTTAGTAAGGACTATAAAAATAAAGTATGGATTATTAAAAGGCATGGTCATTCATTAGTGAAGAAATAAATTTCAATTTTATGATTAAAACTGGCTTTTTTTTAATAGCAATTAAAATTGGCTTTAAGCTAAGCTTGTTGCATTGATTATTTAAAACACTTTTTTTTCTAAATTTGATTTTTGCATTTAATAAGTCAAGTGGAAAAAAAACTCCTAAGATTAATTAGGCGAGTGTGTTGTTTCAATGAATACTACAAGAAGGGAGGGTTAAATTGTAGTATGACAGATTTGTCAAACTTTTTGCGGAAATAAAAACAAGCTAAAGGAACTTAAAGTGCAAGAAAGATTTTACGTGGAAAACTCCTTGGCCCTAATCAAGGAGAAAAACCACGACCACTTGGGATTTTAGGAAAATAGTCTTCACTAAAATAGGGTAAATGGTCCTATTACAAACTAAAGACTCTATCTTTGAGTTCTTCAACGAACCCAAAGCCTTGAGGAACAAGTCACCCAATTTATTACTCTTCTCTTCTCTTTCTCTCTTCTCACTTCTCTTTCTCTTCCTAATTCTCTTTCTCTTCCTAATTCTCTTTCTCAGTTCTCACTTCTCTCTCTCACTTCTCTTTCCTCTTACTCACAAGTAGAAGTTCACTCAAACTTCCCAATTTCCCAAAATACAACTTGAAAAGATTAGCTCTAGCATAACGACATTAGAACACTTTATTTCTCTAGTGTGGAATTGACTCTTGTCTCGATTAAAGAAAACAAAGGTTGAAATGTATTTGAGCAAGGGTGAGTTTTTTGAACTGAAATCAATAACTATTTATATACCAAATCCATTTAGGAAAAACCTCTTTGTGCAACAAATCAACAATGCCACTACTCCAACCCACTAGGAAGAACATGTCCTAAAATTAAGGGCATGAACTCCTTAATGTGCAAGACCATGATATGAAAGAGATCATGGAGAGTAGGCCGCAAGTTTTGGGAAAACTGAAATTAGATTTTATTTGCAAAAAGATATTTCAAAAATATAACAAAATAAAATCCTTTTTGTTAAAACTAGATAAATGTTGTGAAATAAGGGGGAAAGATGAGAGATTAAGAGAAAATTAATCTGTTCATGTTATTCCATACGATAGGGGTATATATATACATAGAATATTATAAGTAGGGTTTGCTTAGATAAGAATAAACCCTAGATCTAGAATATTCTGAAAACATACAAAGAGAATAATGGATATCCACACAATATTTTCATAACACTCCCCCTTGGATGTCCATTATCGAATATTGTGCCTCGTTAAAACCTTATTAGGAAAAACCCTATGGGATAAAAACCTAATGAAGGAACAAGAGTACAACATTCTTCGTAATACGCTCGAAATGCTGTCTCGTTAAAAACCTTACCAGGAAAAAACCCAATATGGAACAAAAACCATGGTTAAGGGAAAAAGAGTGCAGCGCGTAATTTCTCCCCCGGATGAATACATAGCTTGAGGTCTTCTAATGTAATGAATCCAATATAGTTGAGTGTCTTCACACATAAAGCAGAATAGTATCATTCCTTGATTTTCATTTCGAGTCTTCCAAATCTTCAAATTTTTACTCAAACAAGTGTGTCTTCATATCACCAAATCTATAACAATAATACATGTGTTTGTTCACATTTCATTCAAAATCTCTGTTCAAAGTTGTCTTAACTATTATACTTATGCCTTCTTCTGGAGGTCATGAATAATCGAAATTGATGATCATTATAATTTGATTAAACATTCCTTAATAATAATATGGCAACCCATGATATTATTAATGTTGATTTTTCAATCTTGTATGAAATAATAATATAGCACATGTAATTATATACATTGATCATGGTTCTTCTGGACCATGATAAAACAGTCTCACGCATAAGTATCTTGTTGATTCTTTAGAATATTTATAATTAACACGATAGTTCTCTTTCATATACAAATAGTAATTCTCATTATTAACACTTATATGCTCAAACTTCAGGTTGAGATGTCAATGATTTAGTCATATAGACTTTTCAAGAGTTTGATAGTAATTGAATTATTCAGGAGATAAACTTTGTAGGACTGGATATTTAAATACGTCAGATATAAGTTCTTCAGGAACTCTTTTTACATGATTCATAACGTGCAATTAAATAAGTGTCATCAATAATTTCATTACAATTATAAGCTCATTGGAATATATATATATATATATATATATATATATATATATATATATATATATCTTTCTAATTTTTTTCATCAAAGTTGTAAATATATATGTCTTACTATACTTTGAATGAACATTCACATACACCACAGCCATTGTAAGAAATTAATCCATGCAATATGAGATATATAAAACATGATAACATATTAAACAAATTATACAATGAGTAATGCATATAACAACTCCGAACATATGCAATGAATAATCTAGTAACCTATGACTCACACATGCATATGAACATACATAAGACTCGAAATAATGCAAGACACTGTACAGTATGGATTTTAAAAATCCATATTTCTTTGGACTTCTGGTCCATGATAAACTTTTATTATTATCATTATGTCGACATTAAAATGGACATATATTCCAGATCCATTATTCACTAGTTCATTATATCATGCATATGCATTATTTATCGGTTCCATCATATACCGGTATCATCATATAATTCCTCAAGGTACAATTTTAATTTGCACACTATTTTGACACTGATATCTGAATACATTTTTCATTAGTACCATCATAATTTTTCTTACATCATAGACCATCTATTGTAATAATTCAGATATCTACACAACTTCAAAGGTTTTTCATACACCTGGTATTAATATACTATTACACTAATAAAAGTGTCAACTGCACTGTCTAGCCATATATTACATCTTTATGTTGGAACCAATTATACAATCTACACTTCAGGTGTAGTGATTCAAGTATAATTGGCAAGATTCTATCTCAATGTATACACATAATTAATATGACCAAAATGTATCTTCAACACTATGCAACATGAGTCATAACTGAA